CTTTATATACGGGTATAATGTTTTCTTTATATACGGGTATAATGTTTACTTTATATACGGGTATAATATTTACTTTATATTCGGGTATAATGTTTACTTTATATTCGGGTATAATGTTTACTTTATATACGGGTATAATGTTTACTTTATATACGGTATAATGTTTACTTTATATACGGGTATAATGTTTTATATATATACGAGTATAATGTTTTATATATATACGGGTATAATGTTTTATATATATACGGGTATAATGTTTACTTTATATACGGGTATAATGCTTACTTTATATACGGTATAATGTTTTATTTATATACTGGTATAATGTTTTATTTATATACGGGTATAATGTTTTATTTATATACGGGTATAATGTTTACTTTATATACGGGTATAATGTTTTCTTTATATACGGGTATAATGTTTTCTTTATATACGGGTATAATGTTTACTTTATATACGGTATAATGTTTTATCTATATACGGTATAATGTTTACTTTATATACGGGTATAATGTTTACTTTATATACGGGTATAATGTTTACTTTATATTCGGGTATAATGTTTACTTTATATACGGGTATAATGTTTACTTTATATACGGGTATAATGTTTACATTATATACGGGTATAATGTTTACATTATATAAGGGTATAATGTTTACATTATATACGGGTATAATGTTTACTTTATATACGGGTATAATGTTTACATTATATACGGGTATAATGTTTACATTATATACGGGTATAATGTTTACATTATATAAGGGTATAATGTTTACATTATATACGGGTATAATGTTTACTTTATATACGGGTATAATGTTTACTTTATATACGGGTATAATGTTTACTTTATATATGCTGTTTCGTTTTTCTTGCAGTTTATCTTTATTTATTCTTTGATCGAGCACGAGCCTTTAAAATATGGAGACTACAACTATCCCTACTGGGCTGAGGGTATCGGTTGGTTATTAGCGTTACTGTCGATGGCACAAATACCCATCTGGGCTGTCGTTATGATACTGAGACAGAAAGGACCCGGACTGAAAAATGTATTGTTTTGTGTGTGTGTGTGTGTGTGTGTTTGGAATGTTTAACACATTTCTTTAATATTTTTTTCAAATTATAATTGAATTTATGAAGATATTTTTTATTGTTGGCTTAGTGTGTAAATTTGAAACTAATCTAACTCTTCTGAGCTGCCCGAACTTCATGAAATACTAGTGGAATTATGACCAAATTATTTTTAGGAACAAGGATATCCAAATGATGATTAAATGCAGGCTGATCATTATAAGTGCTAGTTATATAGCTTTTTCCTATTAACTATTTGTTTTACTGGGTTGTCTTCAGTAATGTATATACTGCTTTTAATTTATTTTAGTTATTACAGAATTGAGGAAAACATTACGAACATGGTTTCGCCAGTAAAGGCATCATCAGGCGAAACCATGTCGTAATAAATGATGTTTTTGTGAAACGTACAATTGTCTTGTTTTCCCCAGTTCTGTAATTATGGAGTTTCAACAAGTACCGACTGTTTCAAGTATGAATTATTTTAGTTATAATTACACAGTAGGGCGTGAAAGTTTAAATAAAATTCAGTTACCTAAGTTACTTAATTTGTTTCACAAACAAGGACGTTTTGATGTTGGTTGTTATCAGAATTCTGCCTACACTGGACTATACACCCACTTTAATCGTTTTGTTCCACTTAATGTCAAAGAAAACCTCGTGAAATGTCCCGTGCACACCATATCACCAGTTCCTGTGAACTTTTACAGCAAGAGCAGACCTTTACAGCAGACTAAAATCCGTTTTAAAACCTGAGTTCTTTCGGAACAACTTTATTGAGTCTACCATCAATAAAACCGTTCAACAACTACATCTACTCAGATCACTGAACTATGACGTCCCGAAGCTACAGATAATGATGGCTGTATAGTACACACTCACACTAATGAATCTCTTGATTATGGTGCTTGGTTTCCTTTTCAACAGTTTGTCCATAAATTCTCTTCCAGTGTGTGTTCAGATCTTTATTGAGAATTTAGATTTTTTTAAGGTTTGAAGATAATATTCAGTTTTCTCAACAATTACATGTTATTTATGGATTTTGCTATCCAAAGTGTGGGGGCGCTTACGTTGGATTGACTGTTAGAAGACTGGGAGATCTATTAAAGAATACTCTAATTTTAGGTTCAAGGACAGATCAAGCTTGTTCGGCATGTACTAGATGAATGTGATGAGGTCCCAATCACTGGTATGTTCAAAGTAATCGGTGAAGCCTAAAATAAACAATCAGCAAACAGCACTTGAACTTTTACTTAGGTGATTGAATTTTACTTTAATTATATTCTTAGCTTTCTTTTGATCAAAATTCTTAATAGTTTTTATAATGTTTATGATTGTAAAAGAGAGGGTTTGAGGCTGTTTAATTAGTTCCAGTTATATTTCACGATAACGAAGGAACGTAAAAGAACCAACATCAAGACAACTTCCTCTTCAGAGACGTATAGGTGACCTTTTCTTTCATTGAACTAGTTGGTTTCATGAGAACTGATATTGCTCTAAGTTGCAGTTTTCAGTTGGTTATGGTACTGATTTTGCTGCTTAGTATGGGTTAGTATATTTCACATTAAACTATACTATTTGCAGTAACTTTATGGACACAACACGTAAAAGCCGGGATTTGATTCCCCGCGGTGGACAGAGCGCAGATGGCTCATTGTGTAACATTGCACTAAACCGAGCAAACTACAACAAAACTTTGAAAGTGAAATGACTACTTGCCAGACCTATAGCAGGTATGCGGAAATCTTAGTTATGATTCTGAAGAAGCAAAGATTGGGCATTTGTTTTTGTTTTGGTATCAGGACTTCTATTATTTGGTCACTTATGTAACAACTTCACGGGAAAGTGATATTTTTTTACGTGTACAAACAAGATATTTTTTTTACTAATGATTTACAAAGAGCATGTTTTAATGCCGGAAAAGCCTTTCTCAACAAGTTCTTGCTACACTCCCATTTTGTTAAAGAAATGCATATATTTGTTTATATTGCAGAAGATCAAGCAATCCATGACTCCGACAGAGGACTGGGGGCCGGCTGAAGAAATTAGTAAAGACGACTGGAAAAACGGCATGAACCGCATGAAAACAATCGAAAAAGGAGCATCGCCTGAAAAACTTGATCAAAATGCTGCTTCGGACAATACCGATGTCACGCAGTATATTTAAAATTTTCTCTATTATAAATAATAAGTTTGGCTCTGTGGACGCTGTAGCTAACTTATAGTGGAATATCCGTTTCTCGAGCATCAACATTCGTTATAAGCAAAAGAATGTTGAAACTCGTATCGGACCACTATATTTTAGAATGTTGAAACCCGTATTGGTTCACTACATTTTATGGAAATTATTTTTTAATGTTTACCAAGATAGTGGAACTAAAAAAAATTCAAATTATTTAGGTACAAATGTTGTTTTAGTCAGGGTTTCTAGATCCGTAATTTTTCTTATTTTCAAATTTTTGCATTTTAGTAAAGAAGAAACGAGAGGCCCGGTCTGTTCTCGGATTTGTCACCTCTTTTCAGTAATCCTGCTGGTTCAAACCGATGAACAAGACCATGTCTCTTATAATGTTGAATTGCAGTCTGTATAATGCTTAAAATATCTTATATTTACCATTAGAAATAGTAAAGTTGTCTATAATAAAATTTGGTGGGATTTTTAAGACGTTGTATTCTTTACACAACGGCAGTTGCATTAGCGAAAAGAGAGCAGAAGTAAAATATGTGGCACATTTCACTGTTTGTACTCTAATCCTGCCTGAAATAATTCGAATTTGAGGGTAGGCTGGTAGAGATCCTGATGAGTAATAAAATCGAATCGGGTATACGCACAAAAATACAGCTAATAAAAAGGAAAACAAAGTCTTAGATTAGTTTACTCTAATCCTGCCTAAAATAGTTTCAAGTGCCGCGGTTATTGTGGATTCTCTCTTGTTTTTGTTTCTTTCCTGCTAGTTCCATACGGGAAAAACCATTGAACTTTACCAACTTGATCAAAATATGTCTAGCTGTAGTTTTCGAACCATGTTTATTGCCCGGTAGCTTTCATATGGTGGTTCACAAGCCAATGGAAACTGATAATCTAGAATAACACAAAGTAGAAAGCCCCATAATGAGGTGGAATTGGGATTACTAACCACTTAAAAGTGGAAGTGGGGTTATTAGTCCCTTAAAATTGAATCCTATCATGAGGTATGGGGGAGGCAGTGTGATGGTCTGGGGGTGTTTTTCTGCTGAGGCGATAGGAGATATTTGCAAAATAGATGGAATAAGGGACCAGCGCAAGTACCATCAGATCCTGATCCGTCATTGTATAACCAGTGGTTTGCATATTATTGGTAAAGGATTTTATACTACCAAGAAGAAAATGACCGCAAAC